AAGAAAAGTGTGCAAGTTGAGAAAGTCTTTATGCGGCTAAGACAGTCACTAGGTCTGGTTTGATCGACTAACCAAATGTAAAAAAGCATGGATTCACCCAATGTCAAGCAAATCGCACATTGTTTGTAAAGCATTCCGAAGAAAGTAAATTGGTTTTATTCATTGTTTATGTTGATGATATTATAATCACATAAAACAATAAAAAAGGGATAGAGAATCTCAAGAAATTGCTAACAAGAAAATTTAAAATCAAAGATCTTGGACAACTCAGATACTTTCTCGACATGGAAGTTGGCCGAACCAAAGAGGGAATTTGGTCACACAAAGAAAGTATGTCCTTGATATGCTCCAAGAAACTGGAATGCTAGGATATAAGCCAGTAAACATGCCTATGGACCATGTGGACAAGATTAATGAAGATACTGAAGTCCTCCGACTGATAAAGACAGGTACCAAAGATTAGAGGGAAAGTTGATCTACTTAACTCACACAAGGCATGATATTGGTTTCTCTGTTAGCATGGTAAGTCCCTACATGAACAATCCAACTAACAGACACATGAAGGCTGTATACAGAATTTTACAGTATCTCAAGAAAAGTCCGAGTAGAGGGCTTTACTTTAAAAAAAACCTCAAGTAGGGAAGTTGAGGTATTCACTTATGCGGATTGGGCAGGATCCTTAACTGATCGAAGATCAACTACCGAGTAGTGTTCTTATATGTAGGGAAACTTGGTAACTTGGTGAAGCAAAAAGCAGTCCATAGTGGCAAGAAGTAGTGCAGAGGAAGAATTCAAGGCAATTGCTCCAAAGAATACTCAAAGAACTTGGAATTACATTAAATCCCACTACAACAATTTTATGTGATCATAAAGCTGTCATAAGTACTGCAAAGAATCTTATTCAACATGACTGAACGAAACACATAGAGATAGACTGTCACTTCATCAAAGAGAAACTTGAAAGAAGAACAGTCAGACTCATGTATACTCCATCTAGCCGCCAAATAGCATATATTTTGACAAAGACACTTTCAAAAGCAAGCTACGAAAATATGAAGAGCAAGTTGGGAATGTTTAACATCTACCACCCAACTTGAGGGAGAGTATGATTAAATGTAAAAATTAGTGGGATTCAGTAATGATCAGTTTCTAATTATAAAGAAAAGAGAATATCTCTTAATTAGTTGTTGTTTCCTTCTTTAATACCTAAAGATATTGAGTGCATAATTTGCAACTATAATTTAGGAATTCAACTCATATATATCCTCATTCTATATCCAGAGTTTACACAATAAATAAACAATATTTCTACAATACTTATTCCATCAAAAAAAGAAACTTGATCCCTGAACCTTGAAATATGTGTTTGTGGTGTACTCCTCTCAAAAGGGATATAAATGATATCATCCACCTACACAAAAATTATATATCTGCAAATGTTACCGTCATTGAACAAAAATCATATTTCAACTCACCATATCCTTAGGGTTGCCTATATTGAAAGATAAGAATATAAATTTTTTCACTGACTTTATCTTATGGTTTTTGTCACACACCCAAGTACCAGTACTACAAGAAAGTCTTAGGACCCACCAGAAAACTCACGCACTCAAGAGACCATACCCGACCCTAGGTTCACTCAAGTGCGTATGAGGAGGAAAAATCCAAGTTCTGAGTCTAAGCCTATCCAAGTATCCGACTTTGATTCTAAAACTGAGGTAAGTCCCACAAAACCTATACAGTTTAATAATGATATACCTACTTAATTTCATAAAGATACCATGAAATGCAATAAACTTCCTCTTTACCTTATCTCACAATTTGTGTCATTTGATAAGTGCTCACAGTACCATAAAATTTCCTTACAATTTTGAATGTTGAGTCTATTTCTAGCACCGTATTTAAGACATTTCTTATGGAAAACGAAAAAGTACTACGAAAGTAGAGATGCATACACTAGACAAAAACCAAACATGAGAAGTAGTGGACTTACTCAAAGGAAAAAGAAAATGTAGGATGCAAGTGGGTTTTTACAATCAAATACAAGGCAGATTGGACAATCGAGAGATATAAAATAAGACTGATGGAAAGAGCTATAAACATATTTATGAGATAGATTATCAAAAAATATTGACACCAATAGCCAAGATGAACACAATGCGTATTGTGTTACCCTTACCTGCCTACTTTGATTGGCACTACAACAATTCGATGTGAAAAACATATTCCTGCATGAAAACTTGGAAGAAAAAAATATCCACATGGAGATTTCACCAGCTTTTGCAGAAAAATAGGATCAAACAAAGTGTATAAATTGAAGAAAGCACTCTATAGACTCAAACAATTGTCAAGAGTAAGGTTTGGCAGATTGGCAAGAATGATGATAAGCTTAGGATATAAGCAAGCTCAAAAGATTACACTATGTTCATCAAGCACTCAGAGATAAGGGAGTTACAATTTTCCTAATATATGTTGATAGTATTTTGTAATAAGAAATGATGAGAAAAAAATTGATGCTAAAGCAATATTTGGCAAGAGAATTTGAAATTAAAGGGTTAGGTAAGTTAAAATATTTTCTTGGAATTGAAGTCAATCCACTTAAAATTCGGAATCTTTATCTCTCAATAGAAGTATATTCATTACTTATTAAAAGATACTAGCAAGCTAGCATGTAAACTAACTAGTATTCCTATTGAGCCTAATCATAAATTGGGAGTAGGATAAAAAAATACACCAGTGGATAAGAAGATGTACTAAAGATTAATTGGAAGACTGATATGCATGTCTTACACAAGACCAGACATCGCTTATACAGTAAGTGTTATAAGTCAACTCATGCACAACCCTAAAGAAGTACGTTTACAATTTTTTTTTTTTAAATAGACGAAGTGCGTTACAAATAGCCCACACAGTATTGCATTAACTTGTTCAGGAAGAGAGATAAGTTGCGTCTAGAAGTTTATACGAATGTAGATTATGCAAGATCAATGGTAGAGAGAAGATATACCTCAAGTTACTGTACTTTCTTTGAGAGTAACCTAGTTACCTTGAGGAGTAAAAAACAAAATGTAGTAGCTAAATCCAGTGCAAAATCAAATGTTCGAGCAATGATCCAAGAAGTATATAAATTACTATGGATAAGAAGAATTTTAGAAGATTTGAGAATTATGTGTGACAACTCTATGCACCTATATGTAACAACAAGTCAACTATAAGTGTTGCACATAATTCGGTACAACATGACCGGACCAAATATATTTGAGCTGACATATACTTTATTAAAGAGAAACTTAAAATTGACCTAATATGTACTCCATACATGTCTACCAGTTCATATCTAGCAGATGTGTTAACTAAATAGTTGAGTAGTTCAACACTCCAAACTATCATTGGCAAGTGGGGATAGACAATATCTATTTCCCAGCTTGAGATAAAGCTTAAAGGTAGTGTATTTTACATAAATTAAGTTAAAGAATATAAGGATAAAATACATCCTACATAATTAATTGTCTATTTAGAAACTGTTTATTTTGGAGAGAAAAAGTATTAATTTTATTTTTTCACACCCTTTATGTTGTTACATATAGGGTATATATAGATTTCTTAACCTATTGATAGGAAAATTCTTATTCTAATAAAATTCTAATTATATAAAATAATTACTCTCATAAAATCCTAATTACATCATCATAATGAATTAAAATAATTAAATAATAAATTATGCTAGTCAACACTCCCTGTCAAGTTGGTGCAGGGATATTACACATGTTTAACTTGTAAACAAAGTTTTGAAGAGTCATCTTAAAGTTTTCCAATGTCAAAAAAAGTGCTGCAAACTAGAATCAGATCTGTCAGGCAACAGTTTGGCTTGGCTCGGCTCGGCTAAAAAACGGCTCGGGCTCAACTGGAGCACTATAGGAACTCTCACACACCGCCGGCCACCATGTGCCACCGAAATATTCTGGGAATCAGCACAAAAGCTTACGCCTATCAGATCTGACATGGATCTGATGAAATCGCACCGGAAAAAACACGTAACTCCTCTTTCCCGGACAGACCCGATGTGCTGACGCTCTAATCTGGCCGTCGCGCGCCGATCTTCATCTATGTCGCACGCAGAACAGGTTGCGCACGACTCTGCCTTCTTTTTCAGCCGTGTGCAGCTCCTTCGCTCTCCAAACAGACCAAATCTGACACCCGTCCGCACCGATCTGCCTCTCCGTCGCGCGCAAAGCCGTCTTCCTCTGCCTGGTTGGGCGGGATCAGCTGTCTTGTTACCCAACCAGATCTGGAATGGAGGTGAAGCGATCTGGTGGAAGGCAGAACCGAAGCAAGTTGATTGGCAACCAGGAAGTTGAAGCCGGAAAGCAGAAACTGATTAGCAACCGCTGCTGGTTGGTCTTTTGGTGAGACGCGGCCACCGATTCTCTCTCTGGATCTGTCTGGGGTGGTAATGAAAGTAAATATAGATAAATGGGTACCAACCCAATATATTGTGCTATTTTAGAATTTAAAAAAATCCTGAAATTAGAACTCTAAAATAATTTTATTTGACTCTGATACTATATTGTTTTTGGAGAGAAAAAATATTAATTTTATTTTCTCACACCCTTTATGTTGTTACACTTATAATATTTATAGAATTCCTAATCTACTAATAGAAAAATTCTTATTCTAATAAAATTTTAATTATATGAGATAATTACTCTCATAGAATCCTGATTACATTACAATAATAAATTAAAATAATTAAATAATAAACTATGCTAGTCAACAGAAACCTATATATATTAGGTTGTAATATTCAATAAAATACACAATCAATCATTCTTAACACCTGTCACCAAATCAAATAGCACTTCTTTTAAGTCATGGAACAGTTCTACATGTGATACTTGTCAAATATACAACTTAAGAAACATCTATTCTCCCAGAATGTTGAAACTATTATCAATACGTAATCAAACTTGAGTTCGTATGTCTATGGATTTCATGAAACAACAACCTAAATCTTAATGTAAAGGTACTATTTGGTTGTGGTGGATAAGTCTGCCAACTATAGTCTCTTCATGACCTTGACTCATCCTTTTGGTGCTGTTAAGATAGCCAAGTTGTTTTTAGATAACATTTATCAGCTACATGTTATGCCTCTCTATATAGTCTATAATCGGGACAATTTTACAAACCTAATCTAGAACGAATTTGTTAAGTTGTTGGGGACTCAACTTTAGGTAGGCACGTCTTAAACACCCACAGGTGGATGGTCAAATATAGAGACTTAACTAGTGCGAGGAGAATTATTTGAGATGTATAACCTTCAAAAAACCTCACTTGTGGGCAAAATTGTTGAGCTTTGGCAAAATGTTGGTACAATTGCACTCACCACCCAAGTTTTAGAATGTCTCCTTCAAAGCCTTAATGGCTGTTCACCACCCCACTTTTTGGACAATTAGATGATGTACACACTGCCTCGTAAACTGGAGAAATTTTTTTAGATAAAAGAAGAAGATGACAAAGATGTTGAAGGAATATATACTGGCTGCAGAGAACAAATTCAAGCAGTACGCAGATTCATATTGTCCTAAAAAGAGATTTAAAGTTGATGACTTTGTCCTCCTAAAACTCCAACCTTATTGGCAAAGTCCAATAGCAGCCAGAAAAAGCCTTCAATTGTCTGCCGAATTCTATGGGACATTCAGAGTGATTCTGTGACTGATGAACCTGACAGTTTTGGTTAACTGTCATACAGTGCCAGAATCCCCAAAAGGCAAGAACAATACTCATACAAGAACTTCATGTAGCTATGCTCTATTACGCAGCAAAGAAGATGGCAAAGAAACAAAACTTGGAACCTTGAACAATGCCCATAACAACACTGCATATAATTAAGTGCCTCTAGAGGCATTTAAACAAATGGATTAAGACAGGATAATATTAAACATCTTGAGTTCAAAATCAGGGGAAAAAAGTTAACAAATCCAGCTTTTGAGAAAAGGAAAAAACAAGCTTTCACAAGAAGAATTGTCCCAAGACAAAAATGATCTCACCTCCCACTTTTCAGATTTACATCCAAACCAAGCAAATTTGAATAGACAAGCCTTTTAACCAGTTGAACAGTTGAAGGTTTCCTGCACATCTGCAACCTCTAGAAACCCAAAGAGAAAAATGGCAAATATAAGACTTCCAGATTGAAATTAAATTTAAAGATTAAGACGAGAATCTAGAGAGTAACTACACAAAAACTTGTCGGCATATTAACTAGCATACCTCCTTCCACCATGCTAAGTGGGCAAGATCTTTATCATCTAAAATATCATTTGATGCTTTAAGTTTCCTAGCCTTTGTGGTTCCTTTCAAAATCTTCCTATCTTTGAAACAATAAATCCTTTCAGAGTGCCTGCAGCTATTAGTACTACAAAGTAGGACATCAACAACTAAATATGGAATAATAACCACATTTAACAAGTTCACTCCCGCTCTCACTGTGAAAGGAACTAAGAAAACCGAGAACAAAAAATTAATGAAGTCAGAGATTAGAGACGAGGTATTACAGCATGCATTATAAATACAGAGCATATTTATACACAGATATCCAGACACGCATGTATACTCTTGTATGAGCAGAGTAGAAAAAGAGAAGGATTACGGTAGATATGGAGAGGGAACGAATGACGAGTATCCGCGAACAGATATGCGCGGACGAACCAGCAGAGCAAGGGAACGCCACCTGGGTAAGGCAACGACCACGTTTCTGGAAGTTAACCAGTACATTCTGTGTGTTATACGAAGGAAATCTCTTCAATTTTTTTTACTTATTCTCATTAAATTATGTATCATTTACACGAGAGACAGAGATTTCTAGGGTTTCTTATCCAGGGTTTTGAGATGTTCGTTCGCTTCTTATTCCCGCCAGTATGCAGGAACAGAAATGATTAAAGGTACAAACGAGAACTGGATAAAGAAAAATCAAATGCTATTGTTTGTCACCATTATAGAGTGACACTATGACGGTGATGTATATATACACTACAGCACTGGAGAAACTGACTGAGCGCTTCGTGTCTAGTGTTTGAGCTTGTAGAAGTTCAAGTGAACTGTATTCAAATTCAATTAATTTTTTAAAAATTTACAGTTCCTACCGAATCCGTTTAACGCATTGCATGTCTTTTTTTTTTTTGGGTTACAATTCAAAAATTGTATGTTGTACTATCGTTTATAATATTAAATTTTTTGTAATTAATAAAATATATAAATTTTTAATGTGTTCATGAAAATTTTATATTATTTTTTAAAATTATATTTATTTAAATACATTTTATATTTATGAACATATTATATTTTCATAAATCGTGTAAAGGAATTTGAAATATATTTATTTTTATTTAATTAAAAAAATTATACAAATGGGTGTTTATTAGTTCAAATTGAAATTTAAACACTTCTATATAATATATTTTGTAAAAAAATTATTAAATAAATACACAAATAAAATATGATTACAAATAAGTAAATAATAAAATATAAAAATTATCAACTTACATAATGTGATAAACTATAAACAAAATAAATCAAATATAATATAAAATAATATGATACTATAAAATAATATACAGCATACAAAATGAGATATGTTGCATAATTTACTTGAAATTTATTTATTATAAATATTTTTAAAAATTATAAATTTTAATAAAATTTAAAGAATATTTTTAAAAAATTCTCACCACAAGTTTTATAGGTTCGATTTTGTTAGGTCCAAGAATTTATTTAATATTTAAAATTTACTAAAAAATTATCAACAAATATGTTTACTATGTTAAGATGTAAATGATTGTGTATAAAAATTTTAATTGTATTTATAATAGGTATTTAAAAATTATTAATATTTTTTAATAATTTTTTCTAGTCATAAAATACAACTTGTCATTTGTTTAGCTGTTTAATTGTTTCATTAAGACAGGGCCATTGAGACATTTCAAAATTGGTACATAAAAAATGACTAGATTTTTGAGTGGTCAATAATTTTTTAGAACTTTTTTTTGGCCCCGTCAATTGGTTCAATACTTTAAATTATATTATTATGTTATGAAGATGTCCTGTTTTTTTTTTTTTTTACATGTATTGATAAAATTACACAGAATGTATATTTTTAGAAGTTTCAAATGCTTGCATTCAATGTATAAGAAGTTAACTTTATATTGGTGCCTACGTACATTTATATATATATATATATATATGAGATGTCACATATATATATTTAAGTAATTAGTACTTTGGGTTGACCCAATGTGATTTAACAAAATACATATAATAAAATAATTTGGAACCAACTAACATGTAGCAAGAAGAATATTAAACTGTTACTTGACTATAAACTAAGAGTCAATTTTATAAATTCAGAAGAAACAACTTGTTTTTAATAAGCTTTTATTTCGTTTTCTTTTGTTTTTTTTTTTTAATCACATATTGGAGCTTGGGAACAAAACAGAGCATTGACTTTGACCTTGACAGCGGAGGTACCAGCTGATGTCCCAATTCAATATGTTTTAAGTGCATTAATTAAAGTTAATTTTATTAATTTGGGAAATATAAAAACACCCATAATCTAATTAAAATTATAATTAATCATTTATTATGTCACACCCAAAATATTTTTTTATATTACTTTTATTTATTTATTTATTTTTATTTAAATTTTTTAGATTTTAATTTAATTTAATGAAAATAAAAATAATAATAATGATAAAATTATGTAAAAATATTATTTCGATTTAATTGAAATTGATTTTGAGAAACAAAATGTGAAAATTTGGATTATGGGGGTGTTTTTGAAAAGAAAATCAGAAACCAGGGGATCAAAATGTAATTTAGTAAAATTGTGCCATTTCAGCAGCCACGTCAGCAGCTCCGGCCAACCAAGACACGCCGCATGGCAAGGAAACGCTGAGACGGGACGGGCCATGGGGGCGATCTGCATGCGCGCGATCGGATGACCCAGATCCGTTTCCACGCGCACGGACGGCCCAGATCGCATCGCGATGAACGGCCCAGATTTAATCTCAATTAAATCGCGATCGGACGGTTCAGATTTAATCTTGATGGATGGTTGAGATTAAAAGGCAAATGGTATAAATAACCTCACCCACACGTGACCACAAAACCCTAGCCGCTAGTGCGGCGTCGCCGCAACTCCCCTCTGTTTTTGCCTTCGATGAGGCACTTCCAAGCCTCCGTTCGATGCAAATTTTATACCACTGTGATCACCGTTTTTTTCTTTACAGGTTGATCGGAGCCAAACATCAAAACGCGACTCACACCGAAGGAGCCGCCGCACCCGAGAGCACCGCCGCCGGTAAGTCTCAATTTTTCGTGATTTTTTTGCCCACCGAGGGCCCTAGGGTTGTTTTATCGCAGGGACCGATGCAAGTTTGGCTGAATTCAGCCGAAAATGGCCAACCCGAAACGGATCGCTGACACCGGAGCACGGCGGAACCACCGTGCCAGAATTCCGATATTGGCCGAAAGGGGGCTCTATGTCTGATTTGGGATTTTTTGGGACACGTGCAGGTACCTGTAGTGCGTTTCAGTTTTCCGAAAAAAATTCAAGAAAATTAGGGACAGCCCGTAGGCGCACTGTAGAGTCGATCTCAGACCCCGAAATAA